CCAAACAACGGGCGGGTGAGCGCTAAATGCCTTTGTTTCAGGAACCAGGAATCCGCGGAAAACAGGTATTGCATCTCACACAGGATCAAAAATGCACTTTTTTTAACTGCACTTTTTGGTAAAAAATAAAAGTCTGCCTTAAAAAAAAAAGTCTGAGCCCTGTCATCACCAAAACCTCAATCCTATACAAGTTAAAGACATTTTTTTCACCCATTTTAAGAAATACGGATACATTTGTGGCAGGAAAAAAAAAATCAGGAAAAATCCTCAAATAAAACAAAAGAGTACAGGGGATTCTGAATAAAAAAAAAAATAAGGTTTTGAATGATCTCCCCCCAAAAAGGAAAAGACAAATGTTTTTTTTAAAACTACCGTCTACATATACAAAATGTTTTTTTTAATTAATCCTAAACAATTTCCAAAGACCCACTGATTCCCGTACAATGGAAAGCCAACATTAGATGTGCCACAGCAGACTGAACTACATTATGAAGTAATAGGTGTCACATTGTAAAAATCAATGTAATCAGTAACCTGTAAAGTCGGGTATATTTAACCACAGCAGTTCTGTACCATATAAGTATGAAATGCTCAAACACAAAATTAAAATGAAAACGATCCTACATGCAAACAGGAATAAATTTACAACCATTTGCATTTTAACAATGCTCTCGACATTCTTCCCATAGTCTATCGTTCTGAGTCCTACTATCTGACAAACAAAGAAATTAAGAACCCTGAGCAAACTGAAATGTGCTTCACATGCAGCAGACACGCCAAAGCAACATTTGCTAACAAGATCTTAAAATTGTGACACCCAAAATTATGGGGCTGGGTGTGTCTCCCATTTGAGGTTTTGGTTCATTAAGCCGAAATACAAGCATGACATTTAAATTCAAAATGCATGTAGAATGTAGAGCAGTCCCACCGCAGCATATCGGCACAGGCAAAAAAAAAAAAAGGTAAGATATTTAACACAGACAATAGTGCACAAAATGCAACATGCAACATTCAAACTAAGGCTAAGTCACAATCGTGAAACAGGAGATTTAACAATAATGCACTTCATATTTTTCCAGAATAAATCTTATTTTAGCTGATGGCTAGTGTGCTGTGATTTATTAGTTCCTTATTCTATTTTTTCTTGGACTCAGATTCTCCACTGGACAATGCAATAGTTCCTAAAGTCTATTATTGGCATCCTGATAACAGCACAAATTGATGCAAAGCAAATGTGGATGTGAACACTATTACACATACACGTGTGTGTATATATATATAGAAAAAGGTGCATGTTCTGTATAGCACACATGCCTGATACTTTAGGATCAAATCAAAACTGAAAAAATACTTTTATCAGCCATCTAACTGATATACAGTTCACTAGAAAGAAAAAAAATCAACAAATCAATTAAAGAAAAAAAATCACAGTTCTTCTTTGGCAAGAAAATTATGTCGATGCACGTCTTGTGAGTGCTTTGACAGTTAGGCTTTGTCCCCTCCCCTCCGAACCATTTCAATTTTTAATCTTTTTTTTTTCCCCGTCCAGTGTCGCACACATCCATTCTCCTGCGATCATCTCACACACAGCCAGCGTGAAAGATAAAGTGCCAGTCACTGGTGCTGAGTGTTTCTGATGCATATTGAAAAAAGCTGCTTTGTCCAAACCAGGCAACATATACTATTAATTTGTGGTTGTATGTCTGGCGTTTCTGCAATAGCTCTGGCTGAACATCATAGATGACTTCACATCAACTAAAAATCTTAACATGGAATAAAAAGGATACACACATGCCAGTATGAAGCCATGTTTTCCCATTTAGACATTTTGTGATGACGACTAGGGTTACGTCTGCCATTTACCTCTATTAAGGCTGTAACAAAAAATGTCGAATTATATGAAATATCAACATTTACGTAAATGGTTTGTATAAAGCACAAGAGGATATTGCTGGTACCACTACAAAAAGTCTCAGAAGTTCAAACAACGGCTCAGAAATAATAATTTCCACTACATGTGGAAAGATATGCTGTTTCAGAACCTGTAACCCACAGATTTGGACAGCTTCGTGTACACCAGCCACATTTCACTTAAATAAGGATCAGTAGCAATTAGAGGGTCCTTATGATTAACAAAATACACTCTAAAGTTTCAGATTCTAAGTCCTTTAGTAATGTTTGGCTGTCCATACAAATTCAATCCATCTTCTACACTTTTGTGACCAAGATTGTCCTGGTCTGTTAATATGTTTTAAGACTTTTTTTCAGATGTCATTCATGGAGAAACGCTATAATGTTCTGGGGTCCAAACAGCTGATTTCAAATACCTACTTCCTTTTACAAGCAATTCACTTTGCCAAGAGCACGACAAACCCAGGAATCGCAAAGCACACATGACGTTCGGTGTGCTCCTGTACACCTTTATAGTGTCACTCCATACATATTTTATTGGATCGAGAAAATTAGAATTCTGCCCCGATTAAACATTTATTGTCCTGTAACCATTTTAAAGTAAATTATTGCTTTGTACGGCCTAATGTAATAATTGCACAAGTTTAGCACTAACTCAATATGCCGTTTTCTTTTCAATGTATATGAAGTTTTGAATCTAATCTAATTTGGGAGGAAAAAATTATTAGGTCTTAGCCACAGAACTTGCAGCTATCAACATTGAAATTTATTCAAAGGATTCTTGGAACGCTAACACAGTTACAATGCAATTACCACAATGGTTATGGATTGGTTCTCTCTCCTAAAGCACGGAGGTTTTGTTTCTTTCGCATGTCCTATTTGGGAGCACAGCAAAATGTGTGCTTTTCATTCTTGCTTGACAGGTACTGGGTTTTGTCTTTTAAACAGAGCTGCTCAATATGTAAATAGGATGTTACATCACCCAAGTGATACTCCATATTTGGCAATTTAGCATAGCCGTGGATCTCTGAAGGCTGTACGTTCCTTCCGCCAGTCTAGTGTGCCATTAATCATAACCTACAATTCAGCCTTTTTCTTCCAGATCTCTGAAGAAACACTAGTTTGGTCACTGCATTATCGCACCCGTTAAGATGTTTCAGTTCGCTGCAAAGTCTCTGAAGCCTCTTTCGAAATTTTCCATTTGTGTCAACTGATAAAACTAAGAAAATACCTTTATGTAAAAGGCATGTAAGCAATTGTCCAGTTTACTGGATTATTTTAGGACTACTTTTTTAACAAATATAAATGATTTTCCTAGCATGTTCAATCCAGTAAACAGATGCACTTTATTGCAATAAGAAAAGAGTTCTGCGTGGTTGTGGTAGCATATGTACCAAAAAAGATGTTGAATCTCTGACAAGCAGCAACATTCCCTCAACAATGGGATACCAGCAAGCACAGCCCCAGCCAGATTCCATACCTGTTAAGCTGAAACTAAATGAATCAAAACAAGCCATTAGGTGACGAGCGTTTTGTTTTAATTGAATGCACTAATCTGCTGGAACTGGTTATGGGGAAATTGTACATAATTGTTACATGCTGTAGCTGCAGAATAAGACACTCTCCTGAATCCAGGGTGATCCTAGCAGTCAGGAATTTTCATTAAATTGAAGGAGAAAAAACTAAAATGTATTGGTATGTAAAACTATACAAACGGGAAAGGCAATCTTTCACCTGGTATTGACTACAGAATTGCCGTTTCTAAAGAAAGAAAAAACTGTTAAAAAGGCTTTCTTTGATGGCAATTGAACAGTAAATTTTAAATAAATATTTAAGCGGACTACACTGCACCTATAAACTGAATCCATACTAAACATAAAATGTAGCCTCTTTAAAAAAATGAAATAGCAATGAAAAAATAATGTATGTAAAATAATCTTAATCTTATAGATTACCAGACACAATGATAAGAAAAACCATTTTTTGTTTTTATTTTATTTTGCGTTGGGATTTTTTTTCCTCCAAGATAATCCAGGACCCAACAAACAGGTTTTTTTTTTCAGCTGTGATTTCTTCCTAATTAAAGAAGGCCAAAAAAAATAAAAATAACGTGTTTCATAAGATTCTTTAAATAAATAACTTTGTGCTGACACCAAAAATAACTGAATGCGCTTTTATTTTATATGAAAGTGAAAATCTGTGGTGGACATTTATAGGGATAAGATGTGGTTGTGTAAACCACAAAGAAATCAAGATACATCTGTCAAAACCACATCAGAGAGTCCGAGTAGCACAGAAAGGCATTTATCATTTCGCTGTGGAGGATGGCTCAAGAGAATGGCCTTTCCTGTCACACCAACCTTTTGAAATTTCCGACATGGCCTTAAACTTTTTGGATAAGGATGGCTGTGCACTTCAGCAACTGCCCTTTCTACTCTGGTCTGGGCAGTTGCAAATGGCAACTTAAAGTCAAGGTCACCGATGTCACTTTGCCATTGGGCTGCGTTTAATTACAGTGAAAACACTGTCAGACAGTATAGATCCCTGGCAAACTGCAGCACAATTAACTGTTTCAATGCAACCAAAATTAAGAGGTTTTTGTTCTTCGAAAAAAACAGCCACAACTCAAGCCAGAAAAGCAAAAAAACAAAGAGCATGCAACAAACGAGGGGGAAAATAATGACACGCAAAAATCAAAGTAAATTTAAAGTCTAATGAACACAACAGAGCAGGGGTATTCCATTGGCAAAGTGTTACAAACAGCCATTCCTGTTAATGGACCTTTCTCCTTTTGCATCCAGAACCAAACAGCAGAAATAATCTTAGAACCGTCACTCACAAGCGCTCGAGTTTCTCTGCGCCACACAAAAATTATTTAGTAATAATCTGGCTCTCTCCGATTTAAATAGGCAGGGATCTGTAACACTTTCTGCAGCAGGTACCCTCCAGCCCTCTCAGACTTCAGAGACACAAACAAAATACACACAGCTCATGCACTGATGACGTGTCTTGTGCATTGTGCGTTCAAGTGTGCGTGTGCTCCTGTTTGTATGTGCAGGTCCCCCCTGTCGTGTGTTTTTTTTTTTTACCTGTTAGGTTTTCCTGTTTTGGGCAAATTCCTCGGGAGGATGTTGACAAACAATCATCATCCTCTGGCGTGACCTGGATGCCAACCTCTACAGGATTCGATGGTCTTTTCAGCTCACTTTGTGAGGGAGAGGGAGGCTTATCCACAGCTTTGTCCATGCAGAGGCTGCCATTGCACTGCTTCCTTTTGTGCTCAATAAAAATAAGGATATCCCCCAAAGGGAAGTTCATCTGACACTGGCCACAAGTAAGGAGGTCATGGTCCCCTTCTGGAGCTCCCAAAGCTCTGTGTTCCTGCTCCTCATCTGTAAGAATGGCTTCCAGGGGTTCGGCTACAAGCAGGAGGGAAAAAAAAAACAGAAAAAGGGGAATATTAGAGCCTCTCTAACAATCCAGTGACGAGTGCCAAGAGTTTCCAAAATCACATGATTTGTTTTACTTTCAAACATATGGTGGCATGTAAATTAACAGTGGTCACGGCAGCTTTTTAAGAGAACCCGCTAGTTCATTTCTTTTACAGAGGACCAAATGCACAGCCTAAAGCCCATTAAATGTTTTAGCTTCCTGCACAAAAGAGTTTGCACAACAAAGGTCCTTCAAAGTAAAGTGGACATGGAACCTAGGAATAACTTATTTATTCTGACGGAGGAGCTCGGATGCAATTTTGAAATATATATAGAAAACACATATGGTCTAAAGGTTCATCAAAAGCTTAAAGTACTGTTGTACTCTGCAGATTGCTGTAATAATAGATGTTAGTATTATTTAATGCATGTATAATAAGCTTGCTCTGTTCTGCCTCAGCAGGCAGCATGCATTTTACATAGACTTGATTCAAATACAGAATGCGGTTCGATATATAATTTATAAAGCGGAAGAAAAGTGAACTTTTACCCCAGTACTGCTAGCACTAAAATACCTTATTTTACAAATAACAGGAAGACGAGCACTGTAAAACACATAGAAATTGTAGCCAAACAAAAAAATTATAAAAATAAGGAATGAAAATATATACATTAATTATGCATTTAAAAAATGCTTTGAACCCCCTCCTTTTAAAAACCCCCTCCTATTTGACTGCCCTTTGTGATCTTAAAGAGGAAACAATTTCAAATGTGCCCAACACATGTCTGAGCTGGGGACCCAATGTATTTTGAGACAAAACTACCATAGAGCCCTTTCATATGCATGACTTTTATTTCCTTGATAACCACATATACTGACTAATCTGAATGTACTAAGAGACTGAAGGATTTGGTCTTTAACTCCTCATATGAAAATACATAGTTAAAAAAATACTTGGTCATTTTAGCAGCATGGTTGAACTACATGCAAAAAAGATCAAAGCTTTTTTTTTTTCTCAACAGTGGTTTACTGTACAGTGCCCATTATATCCGAAATATTTGAGCAGGGGTGAAAATATTACTTGAGCTTCCAAATGGTTAAGTAGCTTGACCTTCTTTACTAAGCTGCCAATTTCACATTTTAATGAACCTAAAACCACTGAGAATCAAAAAATAGATTTTAATTTGAGTTCGGAAGATTGGAACAGATTTTGATAAAGTGCTGGGATCTTGTGAACTCAGGTTAAATTTATTTCAGCCCAACCTAGACCAGATATTGAGGGGCATATCTGGAGTAGCTCCCAGATGTGCTGTGAGAAATATCATTTGAAAGAGCAATACCATACTACATCAGCGCTCCAACTAGGACATTGAGATAACATGTGATAATTTCTTGCCTCTGGTACTACCCTTAATTTTATGTCAGGTCAGCGACTGGAATATAAGGGTTATACAAGACTCCAATGCATTTACATAAAACAACAATCGCAAAGATTATGTCTTGTTTTGTTTAACACAGGTATCGCTGCTGACCCTCAATTATACACCCGACTGACCACTCGGAAGCCCAAATGCTTTTGTTTCCAAATACATTTGTTTTCGGTGTGAATTTATAGCACGCTTACTGTACAATAGACTTTCACGGAATAAAGCCGTTTCCAAGAACATAATAATCGGGAAATAAATAATGAGCGAGGAATAACAACACGCTCATTGCCACCGCCCTCAAATACAGCTACTCTGAAAAATTCTGCCACTTTCTTATGTTTACATTACTCGGGGGAAACATTTTTTGAAAGTTTTTTGCCTGCCCACCATGTATATAAAAACAATCTCTCTAACAGGACAAAACTGTTTTATCATTGTATTTTCTTTTAAAAACAACTGTCTCCAAGAATACACTCAGTAGCCTTTGTCAAACAATTTAATGTATACTTAAAATATTTATTAAAAGTGGCAGAAATAATGAAATCCAGGAAAACTGGATAGCAACATTGTGTTTTTGCTCCATATTTTACTAATATTGAGCATACATTTTTACAGTTCACTGATTTCACGTGTTTTTGAAAACGTCTTGCGATTACTTCTAACGTAACAAGCGAAAATGTTGCTTTGATTCAGAATACTTTCAACAAAGTAGCTTGCTGTGAGGAACTGGATCTTCGTTGCTAGAAATATAGGAAAGACACAAAACCTGCACACAATTAAAAGGGCTTCATTTAAAATTACCTTTTGAACATTTCATTGTTAGTTTGCATGCCTGAATTTTTTTTTAATTAAAAACTATACAACTGTATAATAAATTCCACCTAAATTCCACATAAATTTCTTAGCCTTAGCTCCCCTGAATATCTTAAGAGAGGAGGTAATACGACTTTCCTGATGATTTAATACTGAAACACGTGGATCTAAAGGAAACACGCCACACAAGGACATTTTATAGTTTTTCCATTTTGATTTCCTGTCTTCAAACGAAAATTAGAATACTCTCAATATAATAGTATATTATTCTATATAATAAGTGTAAAAAATACGTAAGTTTCATACACGTATTAAACTCAAAGTACAGAAAAATGCTTACGAGCTAAGGTATGTAATGAACGAGGTGGACAACAATAATAAATCATAAAATACTAACCTTAAATGGAGAGTCTTAATGCTTGAAACCTCTGTGCATACTAAAGCTTATTATTTATAAGTTGATGCGTTACTGAAAATGTTGAAAATACGCGTGGCTTTCAATTACTAAATTAAAGCTCCTTTTCATTTTCATGATTGTGAAAGGGTACCAAAAGTAAAAAAAAAAAAGATATCCAGTAAATTAGAAATCATTTGAATGATCGACGGTGTCTCGTCATTTATACGAGTTTAATTTACTTAAAATAAGATATAAAGTGGGTGGGAAAAAAGAAGCTATAACCTGCGTATTATGTATTTCCTTTTTATTCCAAACATATCGTCAGGATATGTAGATTGAGGTGGCGGTGAAATTGATCAGGTTCAAGTTCATTTCCAGTTTATGATCATCTTCTGCCTCCTAGCGACAGAACCGTCACACAAAGCAATACTTCAATGCAACTTAGACAAACGGCTCGCTTTAACACTAATGTGTCTTGAACAAGGAACATTACGGAATCGTTCTCGCAAGATTCGAGTCGTTAAAACGCAAGGTTTACAGATCTTTGTGAATAAAGATGTAAAACATAACATTTCATTCATTCAATCGCGAATTCCGATCTCTCGGGGTCCCAAATACGCTTGCTTACTGCGTTTGCCAAATGTTGGACGGTTTTAAACAGTGTGTCGCCTTCGTTTCCAATAAAGCTTTAAAAAACGTATCCACACGCAAAAACAAACGTGGCGAACTTAAATATCCCTGAACACATGCAGAGCCCAGACGATAATGTGCTATATACGCCGCGCAAGTCTGCAAAATGATTACTTTTTGCATCTATGAAAAGCAGAAACGAAAACAGAAAGAGGCAACTCAACTGTTCTGACTCGCATGCATACATTTTATTTTACCTTACCTTGCGAGTTTCCCTTTTACGTTAAAGTAAAATAAACATAACAGTCGATCCAAAAATCTATGTGTAAAAAGGGGGAAAATATTTAATCGAAAAGAAGAGTAAGCCGGGGTTCCTGTTCCTCTTTATAAAGCCGTCCCCTAAAACAACTAGAGTCGAATCTAAGAGCAATCTTTCTCAAGTAGTGCACATAAAGCTTTTAGATTACAAATCCATCCGTTTGACAGCGGTCTACGCAGCTTTCGAAAGAAAATTAAGCGAATATTACTCTTTTTTTTTCCCCTTTCGATGTTGTTGGCAGGAGGTTCCGCACACGCGGTGCTTGTAAACAGTCAGACACGAGATTTTTCCCAATCAAAATCCACTTCCACTTTTTTGAAAATCTTCCAAAAAATAGTACGAGAGGAGGGAAATCCTCTCCAGGCAGTAAACAGACAGTGTTACAGGGGCTTCCACTAGAAATAATAAATATGATAAAGCATGCATACCTATTACAATCGCCTTCCTACCCTATGCCCTTTAGCGGCTTAAGCACAAGGGGTACGAAAGGCATATCTTAAGCACGCTAGAAAATCTTATTGTAAAAGTGCTCCGGATTCAAAAAGCTGAATGCAAAAAAATAAAAACTTTTTTTCTGCTTAAGTTTTAAGAAAACCGCATTTCGTATTGGCATTTCTGGGTGCAAAAGAAATCTCGCCACGCTTTTTTTTGTGAAGTCCACTTGACCGCGATCTTCGGTGTCCAATGTCCAGCACCACCTTCACCAAGATTTTTGCTCCTGGTCACTGTTTCTCTTCTTTACTGCAGGAAATTAAAGACTGTTGCTGGAAAAAGTGAAGAAAAGGGTGTAAATTACAATTTTGTTCTACTTACGCGAAAATTCCCGTTTGCTTAAGTGCTGGGGTTTGCCTTGCTTACGGCGAGACATGGTGCTTGGTGGTGGCTTTGAGCTCGGTTCACATCGGGAGAGCCGGGTTAGAAAGGAGACTCCAGAGAAAATATCTTCATCAATGCCTTTGACATCCAAAATAAATTAGAAATAATACAAAGATGGCGCAGGGAAGATGGATTGTGGGATAGCCGTCATGGCTTTTTTGAAAAGAGAGAGAGAGATGAAAAAAAATGGCAAAAGCCCCCCTGAGCTGCAAGTTCAAGTGCGGACGTGACGTCCCTGCGAACTTGAACGTCAGGAGATGGATGGACACAGACATACAAAACATGGGCAGGGCAAAGACAGAGAGTAGGAGGAGGGAATGGAAATAACAAAACCAATGGACACTCATTAGGGGCTGGACATGAAAAATAGACCCGGAGAAGCCAATGGACAGAGAGATCAAGGGGGCCGGACAAGAGGCACAAGAGGGAAAAAAAAAGCTGTCTAGTGAAAGCAGTGGGCATTGATCAGGGGGCTGGACGTGAAAAAAATAGACCAAGAAAAGCCAATGGACAAGGGATCAGGGGGCTGGACATATGGCAGTGAAGGGAAAAAAAAAACCCCGTCTAATGTAAGCTGTCGCAGTGGACATTGATCAGGGATCTGGGCACGGAAACACAGTGAAAAATAAGTTCGTGGTCACACAGCTAGACCACCTCGTGTGTGTCAGTAGCCAAGGAGCACAGCGACCACTGAGCTAAGAAACGAAACAGAACTTAAGATATTATTAGCAGGTTGTCTGTATGGGACAGACAGGTTTCGCAGCAGGGTAAAAGTAAAGGAGGACTAGGAGTAGAAAAAAAAACAGCAAAGATCAAAAGAGGGTTAAGAAATTAAGCGGCTTCTTTTTTTTTTTTTAAACCGAAGTGTAAAGTCTGACACACGGCGACGGTGGGGGAGTGAACGAACTAAGTTTGAAATAAACATGTGATGCAATAGGGGTTAAAGCAGGTAAAGGTGGGCTGTGAACGAAAATTGGGAGAGGATGCAAATGTCCAAAAAGATCTGCGGTGGGTCGATGAGTATGTTTCAACAAAGGGCTGGGAGACGAAAAGGGGGAGAGAAAAACACAGACACTCGCGGAAATCGATTTAGGAAAAGAACAAAACGCCTCCCAAAGAGCGGAGACTAAATAATGACAGCTTATACTAGAAGAGACACCAGGCAGAAAACAAAAGCGATGACATGAACTGTGTATGAAGTGGGTAGGAGAAATAGCCATGCAAACTAATAAAAAGTACTAAGACTAGCGGCTGCACAAGTGAATCACAAGAGCGAAGTGGAATGAAAACGTGAGCTAGACGCGGATTCTGAGACAGGATACAAAGGGGATGGGGTAAAAATGAATGGGAAAATAGAGAAAGAAAGGATCGGAGAGGAAGTTGAGCATCGGAGAAAAATCTCAGCAGTGGGGGAAAATATTTGCCGGTCAAGGTTAGTTTATTTACCGGTATTTGTCAAACAAGTCCTGGGTTTCTTTTTGAAGATTTATGAATATGGAAAGCTAAAGTTTGGAGATTATGAAGATAGGAGAGTATATAAATATGTGTTATGGGGATACGACGGGGAAAGTTGTAAATGCCGTCTACGAATATTAAAAATGAGAACGTAGTCTACTGAGTAAAGAGTAAGATTGCGCGTAGACCTGGTTCGTACTGGCGGTTTCAAAGGGAGTATTAACGTCTCGGTGTCAGGAAAAGCTACCTGAATATGAGCCTTCTTGCAAAATACGGGCTACAAAGCAGGCTGATATTAATAAACATGTACGAAACATACGATACGAAATCTCAGAAATGAGAAAGCCTAATCTAGAGGGTTTTAAGAACAGCTTTTAGAACAGTTTCAGAGAAAACGACCTACTTAAATATCGGTGCAGGCTATTCTTTCTAAAAGGGGTTCTGTGTCCCCTTAAATCAAGCATGTAATGTCTTGCAGCTGCCCAGAACTCATTTCGATGTGGTATGAAATTATTCTTTATTTTTAAATTAAAGTAAATGGGACACTGACTAGTTTTTATGTATAAACAGTATATGCTAGTTGAGTCCTGCTGTTTAGGCTAAAGTGTTAATATCTTACGCTTATCGGAGGTCCCTAAACATACTGTAAATATGAGTGCTTAACTTAATTTAATACGTACACTTGAGTTAAGGTTACTTTTCTGCAAAAATGCCATATTCTTTCTTTGAAATGTTGCAGAGGGTTTGTAAGGCAGTTCTATCTGACCAAACGTTCGCGTTTATACTAACCTGTTTTATATATACAGTATATACCCACTATTTGCTAATTAAATGTGATTCAATGTTTTAGTGTATTTAACGTTTAACTTGGTAATGTGCGTTAAACATGGGCTGAAGCATAATTAATAATAATCCTTTATTATAATATATAAGCAATGTAGATATGACATACTTGACCACACAGCTCTTGCGTTTAGTCATACTTTATATAAGAAACACTTAAGAAACTTAGTAGCAATTTAAAGTGGGTGTTGATCATTTTTTGCAGAAAACGGTCGTGTTATGTTGATTTATTGCATGGGCGCAATGTTAACGAGAGTGCAACGTCTTTCTAATATATAATACATCTCAGTAAAAGTCTATAGCTAATCGATATATTTCTGATTTTATGTATTCTTTATGTGAGTGTGTGATGAATATTGAGTAAAATATATGCTGCAACACTTAAAGGGCATTACTGGTATGAATAATGAATATCTAATAAACTTATCTCTCATAGAGTCCTTAAATAAAATTGTACGTAAACGTTTGGTATGCTGGTAATGCATCTCCCTTTAACCCTTTGTGTTCATAAAAAGAGGGCCCACATATATTTCATGTTAGGTATTTCATATAGGCAAACTGGATTTGATGGGGTGTTTAGTAACATAATTTAATTTAAAATGCAGTGCCTTTCTTCGTGAAACAACTTTCAGCTAGAGGTTACAGAAAAGCTAAATGCCATGCAAACACCAGATATATTCTCTTTAAGCTCTTTGAACACCTAATGGGTTTTTTTGGGGTTCTTAACTGCAAAACAGTCTGAAATGACAACTGAGTTATATTCCACAGAGACCAGACAACTCTTCAGATTTATACAAATTAATTGTTCTGGTATAGGATTTGTCTTATACCCGTCACGGATTCAATTACTGAAGTATTGCCTTTGTGTTTTGTCATGACATTTGTGCACAAGTCTGTTGTGACAGTGAAGAAGATACCCGGATGCAGTCTGGTAATATTTTTCTAAAAGTGGCATTTCTTTTTCACTTTAACTTCAGTAGCATATACTGTATGAGTCCCACCCCCCATCCTCTAAATTTAAGCTTTTGACTACTCTTGATTTTTGTCACGCTTTTAACTTCTAGTATTTAGGAATTGGACAGATTGCTAGTTAGGGACTCCAAGGGTCAATCTGGTTTCCATAAAATTGTCAGACATTTGTTGCCTGTAGTTCTGTAATTTCCCAAACGGAAACAATTGCCCGGCTGATTTGATGTGAAAAGGTGCTTTTGCTTTTTAATAGGCAGTGAGATTATATTGCGACAGATTACAGCTTTATTGCTGATTTTGTAAAGAACAATGCAACTTTCAGAAAGTGTTTGTGTTGACAAGCTCAAAGGGGTGTCCCTACTTTAAAGGAATGAAATGGGAAATGGTTAAAGATCAAGAATTGTATTAATTTATGAAGTTGACAATAAACATAATCAATGCATTTCAGGTGTCATTGCACATTCCTCCAAACAATGAACTAGACTCTGTCAAGTTGATTATGTAAATTGTGTGTGTGTGTTGTTTTTATGTGCAATGTACTGTTTTTATTGAAGGTGTACAGACACCTAAGAGTTACATATAGGGGTAAAAATAGAACAAGCATTAGATTATTTTCCATATATATATGCATCAAGAAATTAAGGTTGACATCTACCAAGCAACTCACTACAGGAACTACTTACTGAAGTGGTCTGTATAATCTTACCTGCATCTGTGAGGTGACACCAGCTTGCCCAGCCTGATGCATTTTAACACTACATGTAATAGTTTGATATTATACATACGATAATGTACCTGAGGCAATCAATCCATTTGTTGTTTCAAAAACGTGTTGTCCTGATTCATTATGCATTACACAATGCTGTGTTTACTTGATTTATTATATAATCATATAACGATTCTCTAAGATTAATAAAACACTGTGCCATCGTTAATTTAAGGCGTTTACCTTTTAACGCCGTTCTAAACGACAGAGGAGCTTAAGGTATTGGAATTGACTCATAATTTGTCTACTTTAAGGGAAGGATTAGCCTACAAGAATTAATACCCAATGGCAACCATATGATGTTAAAGCTGAAAAATTAAAAAAAAAACTATTATGAACGATAATACGGTCCTGTGGCTCAAATTCCGTTTCTTAATCAGGGCCATAAAAGAGCACTTAACTTTGTTGCTATCCAATCAACAACTAATAGGTTCTATTTCAATCACAAATTGCAAGGATTTTTCCAATCACGTGCGTGGCTTCCTCCTAATGTACCCTAATAACAATTTTAGCATTCAGATGAAGCGATTTCGTTCTGCGACCGGCTTTTGTATTAGATTTGATTGTGAGAAGCCCCGATGGGTGCCTCTATCTGCGAAACTGCAGCCGATTCAATAGTAGTCTGTGCTAACCTTGACCTTTGCCAAGACCCCGCTCCATCTGGTGGAAGCCTGGTTTTTTTTTTCCGTTCTCCCCCCCCTCCTACTCCTTCTTCCTTCACAGTCAACATTGATCAAGGCACATCGAGCGCTTCACCTCCTCCAGGAGTAAGGCAGACCCCTGTGTACAGCAAAATTTCAATATGTAAATGACAGGGCGACTGCCGCGATCATAAATCAACCAGCCGTAGTTAAATGTATTAAAGTATCCATCTACGGTGACGTCCCTGACATATATCTATCAACTGTGAAGTGTCTTTCGTGTGTGTGTTGGACAGGCGAGCGAGAGAAGATCATTTCATTCAAGATGTTTTATCATTACTAAAGCTGGCGCTGGTTAACATGAAATAAAATCAAAATAACGCGGCTGTGGGGCTCTGGGTAGTGTTTCCCCCCCCAAGACTAGGCTTCTACTGAAAATGGAAAGTCCACATTTAACTCAAAACAGCATCTCATTTGCAGGTGTAGAAAAGTTTGTCTCATTGTATACGCCTTTCTGTTCTTCTTTATAGTTGCCTACATTTTGCCCTTCATGTTCGTGGCATCACGGTGCTTTCATCCATACATGTGGAAAACTGTAAATCCGGTTTTAGCAACTCCGTTTGGAACTGACTCCTGTTTAAGAGGGAAAGCGCCGCGTGAAACCAGAGAGGAAGAGTGAGTGAAGCAGGAGTCACGTGCGCGCTTTCCACGGGCAGCAGCTCAGAGAAAATTGACTGACTGGCCGCTTGGGCGCATTTCAATATATGGAAATGACCAGAGGCTTATGCAATAAATCAACGCTCAACACTTTGTCATTTTTCTCTTTCTGCTTCACTTTTTTTCATTTTTCTTCACCTACATCAGCTGCTGTGTTTTGCACCTTTTTTTTTTCGGCTGTTTTGTTTTGGAAAACATGGATTGCGGTATATTATTTCTAAGATGTGTATATTTAGGCTGCGTGTTAATACACATACATTCATCTGTTGTAAATTCAGTTCCAATAGCCAGACAAACAATGCGTTATTTTTATTTATTGATCTGTAGAGATTAATTCGTTTTCAAAGACACTATCACAATCCCAAATGCAACCTAACTTTGACCAATTTTCAATCTAGAGCGTTATTTTCGAACAAAAACGCTTTTCTGGCCAGAGAGAAAATGATTCCCTTTGTTTGTATTTTAGTCAGCCAGACAGGTTGAAGTTGTGCTTCGTGAATAATAGGCACACCAGGGTCAGTGGTCATCGCCCTGTGAAATGCAGAACCTAATTAATTTTATTAAAGGGGTTCTGATTCAGCAATATGACAGCCCGCGGTAATTAACCCCTTGAGCACTGCAATGCTAGTCACTCACCAAATCACACGAATGGCAGCGATGTGCCCTTAAGGTTACCTGCTTTGATCCCTGTTACACACTGAGTTACACTGTGGGCTGCAATGCGAGTAGCCACACTTGTCTATACAAACGGCACATAAGGACGGAAATGCTCAATTATAACTTTTCCCTGTCGGGCTACTTATTCTTTAAAAATAAAAGTTATGCCGTATTAAAATAATACATTAACTTTTTTTTTTCCATTTGTCATTAGTGTCTTTACAAAAGATTTATATGACATGCACGCATTGAAATGGTATTGACGTCTAAAGGAGCGCTGCTTTTCATCTACTTACTATTAAAACTGTTACTACTTACTAGTAAAACTGTTACTACTAACTATTAAAACTAAACTTGGACATTTTTTAACTAGTTTCCAAAATAGTTCACTGGACGCACTGCTCCCGTTGGGGCTGCATCACCTATCGCACTATGACGTTTCCTTGATAGGCAAAGATGTCATTTGAGCGTTTTACAGCAAAATAGTATTGCAAAGAATAAGGCAATTCGTTATTAAAAGTAACAAAAGTTACTTTTAATCAGTAAAAAAGCGCACGTTCTGATAACTTTAAAGCTAAAAAGTTTAACTCTTTATAACAGAGGTCCAGAATTATTCTTACAAACCACTGCACTATTTAAAAGACAGTCTATAGGCCTATAAGTTGTATAGAACTTTTAAAAACCTGTCACTAAACGCAAGTGTCAAATTCAAATTGTCCATAGTGCCACTGAATAGCCATTGAATACTAAATGTAAATGGTAGTGATCATGTTTCCAGTACATAAAATATCTTTTTTTTTTACACCCCACGTAAAGGTTTAGCCTATAATTAGTTTTATATCATTTAGATTCTCTATTTACTCAAGGGCTACAGCATTTAAAGGGTAATGATCTTTTTATTTTAGAATTTGTTTTCCAGTTTTTGCTTACAACTTGTCATCATTTTTAGTTAAGGCTAGTGCCAGGAATAGATTACTGTACTGTATGTATCCCTTAACAGGTACTTTTTCTTAAATTACAAGTTCTTAGTAGCTAGTTTCAGCATCACGAATGCAGCCCTGTGTAGCTAAAGATCCATTGCGCCATTATTCGAAAATCCCACCCACCAACACTTCGGTAAATTAGAAACAAATAGTAAAAGTTGTGAAACTGGATTCTTAAGTTTGGACTCAGCGTGACTGAAAAGCACATTGCGGTTAAGGTGTTTTTAATAGATACATAAAGAACAAAGAAGACGAAACGCACGTCTACTCTTTCCTTAGGGCATTCCTCATTTGTAAAGTTAAAAGGGGAGATTCAACCACACTGGAAAACGATACTGCAGGTCTACATCACAGCAACACCACAACCGAGTGTTTTTACATGGCTTTCGTAGTCTACATATTTTGTAATACCAGCTAAACTATGTGAGTGGTAAATCTGCAGTTCACAACAAATTCTTTCTAAATTATCTTCTTGAGATAAACATTTTAGTAAAGACTGACTTTATATTTGGCTACGATCCATTCAGACAGGTCGTAGAGAGCTCTCAGACGAGAAGTATAACGAGGAGAAGATATTACTAAGTATAACGAGAGCTAAAAATGGACTTGTTCTTTTTTTCGGCTCACTGCATGGGCAACTTGATTAAGAAATTCGGTTACGACAAAAATGAAAAGTTAATCCGTAGATTAGCTGTATCGCTGGAAGCGTGGGTGCATTGCATTGTGCTCGTTTCTCAACCTCACTGTGCTTTAAATCCTTACTGTCCGCCAGCTATGTAATTTTGACCCAGATACTGCGTCATTTTGTTTACAAACCCACTGGTCACTGCGTGGTAAACACTTGAAGCACTGCCTTTGCTCCCAGACCACTTCAATTTGTTTGTGGCCAGTCTTGAACACACAAGGCTCTATTGAAAGTGTTTGGAATGAAGTGCACACAGATGGAAAGCACAGAGGTTAACTTTGCCAGGCCTTGCACTGACCTTTCCGGAGAGAATTAAATCAGTCTGGGCTGTTGTTAAACCTAAATTATAGCCATGCATCCCAAAGGCACTTCTGCCAAGATTTTACTACCCCTCGTCCTCTAGGCTACTTAATACAGTATAACCACCGAGTTAAACAGGACATTTATAGAGGCTGCATGACAGACTCTCTTGCTTTCTTTTCTGTTTTTATGTTTGTTTCAGACTCAACTAGTAAAAGAAGCACAGAAACTAAGGAGTTTCGTCTCACATACAAATTAGCAGAAATAAATAAAAAACTATCGTATCTAGTCCATACCACATCCGAATTTAGTTTTGAGAGGGAAAATACACAGCCCAAACATCACTTTCAACGCGATGCTTTTTGCATGTTACGATTAATTGTTTTTGACTATGGTCAAGTCTGTAGTATAAAAATGATCTCATTAGCTGATCTTAAGAATCACATAAGAGCTATTATTTCCATCCATTACAAACAACAGTGTTGCATACAGTGTTCGAAAAGAGCATACGAAATACATAATGTGATTTAAATGCACATTTTAATTGTGCCCGTTTACCATGATACTGTATATCTAACTCGCATATAACGTATTATGTATGCTTTTCTATCAAAACCCTTTCTGTGTGCTACAAAAGTGTTTTTTTTCTCCAAGTGGGCATAAGAATCAGGCAGACAAAGACTATTTT